TACCCGGAAATGACGTCACTGCGCTCTATTGTTACACCACGGACACGTGGCTTCTTCAAGATAGCTATCCTGAAGCAGTACCAGTGTATATATGTAAATGTGTGCTGGCTTAAGAAATATAGTACATAGTTCTGGAACATAAAACAGATCTTCTTTTTCCCTCCAAACCCGTTTATCTCGTGGCAAGTTCTCCAAAATTTGAATACTCATCCACCCAGTGGACCCAGCATTGACCTGCTGAGATCCTTTTCTCAGCAGTTGCTGCTTGGGTCCTTTGCCGCCATGTTAGGTGTGACGTCATCAGGAATTCCTCTGGATATTTTGATTTCAGCATGCAGGCCTGATGATGTGCTGGCAGGCCTAGCCACTCCTCTGTGAATGAAACACTACAGCTTCCTGGGATATGTGATACACACTCACTGGCCACTTTATTAGGTACACCTTGCTAATGCCAAGAAAATCTCCCCTACACCATTACACCACCACCAGCTGGAACCATTGATACAAGGCAGGATGGATCCACCACACCATTACACCACCACCAGCCGGAACCATTGATACAAGGCAGGATGGATCCGCCACACCGTTACACCACCACCAGCCGGAACCATTGATACAAGGCAGGATGGATCCACCCACACCATTACACCACCACCAGCCGGAACCATTGATACAAGACAGGATGGATCCACCACACCATGACACCACCACCAGCCGGAACCATTGATACAAGGCAGGATGGATCCACCACACCATTACACCACCACCAGCCGGAACCATTGATACAAGGCAGGATGGATCCGCCACACCATTACACCACCACCAGCCGGAACCATTGATACAAGGCAGGATGGATCCGCCACACCATTACACCACCACCAGCCGGAACCATTGATACAAGGCAGGATGGATCCACCACACCATTACACCACCACCAGCCGGAACCATTGATACAAGGCAGGATGGATCCACCACACCATTACACCACCGCCAGCCGGAACCATTGATACAAGGCAGGATGGATCCACCACACCATGACACCACCAACACCAGCCTGAAGATAGCTATCCTGAAGAAGCCACGTGTCCGTGGTGTAACAATAGAGCGCAGTGATGAAATTTCCAGGTGGAGCTTGGTGACGCAGTTCCTGTGACGGACTTCCGGTTTTTTGCCATCTTGATTCCTTTAGTACACCCAAAACACATGGGAAACCGTGGGCTTTGTACTTGGATCATGCGAGTTGCTTCTCTGGTTTTTATTTGAATTAAACTGACATATTACACTATGGAAGTTTCTCTCTGCTTATCCTTCCATGGCCCTGGTATACATTGCTGAGCCTGTCCATGCCTAATATATTTTGAGTGGATATCGGTGTGATAGAGGAGGTGGTGTGGAGCCATTGGGACCAGTATTACCAGATGGTTAAGAATATAATCGGTGTGGAACATCATATCAATATATGATTTGTGGCCCTTAGGGGTCGAGTGAAGGAGGTGAGGAGGCACTGTAGCCACTGGAGGATACATGCGCTAGAGTGACCACTTTTTTTAGCACATTTTGGAAGTGGAGGAAGATAAAGCACTATTTATATATATTTTACACTATAAAGAGTGTGTTAGCACGAATTTTGCACTTTAATTTTGGATATTCTGATTGTCTACCCTAACACTTGTCACTTTGTTCAGTGATTACTCCCTGTGTATAAATTCACGTATTTATTTATGGTATATATATGTATTTATATAGTTTATAAGCGCCTGTCACTTTCTATACACTATGGTGTCCGTTTATGACACAGAGAATAGCTGCGATTCAACGGATCTCAGCTATTCTCTGGTCATTCACAGTTTATGACACTCAGGAGATCATGTCAGCCCTTCACTGGAGATCTGTGTTCTCCCTCCAGATTCTCCAGCCCAGAGCTGGAGAATCAGAGGGACCGCAAACTAAGCAGCGATAACTTACCTCTGTTTAGTAAACTGATATTTTACTGTAATCTCACGAGATTATAGTAAAATCAGCCGGTTTCCAGAGTTTGGAGACCGTTCTCCAGCGTTTGGAGACCGTTCTCCTTCGTTCGGAGAACTGCTTCATAAACTGCATTCACAGGAGAACTGTGTTCTCCGAGAATGCCGGAGAACTGAGCAGCGATCTATTACCGCTGGTTCATAAAGGGACACCTGAGTGTGTACACTTATCGGTTTTAGCCACTGGGTGGCAGACTGATAGTTTGCTTTGTTTGAACACGATTTATTTATTTAAGCACTAGTCACTTTTATAAAAGTTATATATTTAAGATTTTGCTTAGAAGTGACTGCTATAACATCTGATTATCCCTCAAGACTTGATATTACTCCATGAGGGTAATTGTATGCATTCTTGCCATTTAGAGGTAATCACGGAGCGTTAACTTGGTTTTAAATTTATTATTTAATTTGATTTTTTTTGAGTGTACACAATTTGTCACTAGATCGTAGTTTGAGTGCACACAGAGTGATTTTGCATGATTCACGTGCTACTCACAGTTGAATCTATGTTGAATCTATGAATCTAGGGAGGTACCATACCTCCCACTGACACTAACCATTGGACACTGTTCATCCCACTAAACACCAATCAATAGGGGCACCATTCCACCCACTGCCACCAAAAATGGGATGCTGTTCATCTCCTGAACACCAATAGAGCACCATTCCTTCCAATGATACCAACAATGGAGTAGCATACCTCCCACTGACGCCAATGGGACACTGCTCATCTTGGGAACACCAAAAATGGGGAATCATTCTTCCCAATGATACAAACAATGAGCTAGCATAACTCCCACCAACAATGGGACACTGTTCATCCCAATAACACCAATAGGGGCACCATTCCTCCCACTGATGCCAACAATGGGGCAATGTTTATCCCCCTAAAACCAACAATGGGGCACCATTCCTCCCACTGACACCAACGATGGGACGCTGTTCATCTTGCTACCACCAATGGGGCACCATTCCTCCCACTGACACCAACGATGGGACGCTGTTCATCTTGCTACCACCAATGGGGCACCATTCCTCCCAAATGATACCAACAATGGGGCACCATTCCTCCCAAATGATACCAACAATGGGGCACCATTCCTCCCAATGATACCAACAATGGGACATAGTTCATCTCACTACCAATGATGGGGCACCATTCCTCTAATTAAAAGGACATAAAACTAGCCCTTTGTTTAAAAGGCTTGAAGACCCCTGCCGTAGAGTGTCTTTCCCAGAAAACTGGCAGCTGAACAGTGTAAATTCTAAGATCTGGAAAAGCAGCCTCCAACAAGGCAGCTTAGACTAGTAGTTTCCTCACCATTACTTTTTTTTTAACCTTCCAAATTCTAGAATGTGTGAAGCCTCCCTCCGTTCCCCACACTGGATTGGCTAGGAGTATCAAAAGGTCCCCATCTCAGTTCATATTGGCTGAATGCTTTATTGGTACCTCCCAACTTACCCAGATATACATCCTCCTGTAATGTCCTCCACAGCTGCCAAGAAGAGACATCTATTTACGAATACAAGATGAAGACTAGTACCCCCTTCACCTCTCTCTGGATAGGCTGGAAGAACCAAGGGTCCCCCACCTCACTTTATATTGGCTGACTGCTTCAGGAGTACCTCCCACAACTGTCTTCTTTCCAAGACATACATTATCTGGTCATTTTCTCCACTACTGCAAAAGAAATTACATCCATTTCCTAATTCACAACAGCATGAAGCCAAGCATTCACTTCTGCTTCACTCTTGATTGGCTAGAAGAATCAAGGGTCCCCTCACCTCACCTTGTATTGGCTAAATGCTTTGTGAATTCTGATCCATTTACCCCCCCCCCCCCCCCCCACCCCTTCTCTTACAGACCTACATGCTCTGGTAATATCTTCTATTGCTGCCAAGGATGGGATTTCTATTATTAATATAGGGAAGAAAGGGAGGACAGAGGAGGGGGCGAGCCCACCCACGGGGAGGACAGAGGAGGGGGCGAGCCCACCCACGGGGAGGACAGAGGAGGGGGCGAGCCCACCCACGGGGAGGACAGAGGAGGGGGCGAGCCCACCCACGGGGAGGACAGAGGAAGGGGGCGAGCCCACCCACGGGGAGGACAGAGGAAGGGGGCGAGCCCACCCACGGGGAGGACAGAGGAAGGGGGCGAGCCCACCCACGGGGAGGACAGAGGAAGGGGGCGAGCCCACCCACGGGGAGGACAGAGGAAGGGGGCGAGCACACCCTTGGGGAGGACAGAGGAAGGGGCAAGCCTACCTTGTATTTGTGCTGATGTCCTCTGCAGCATGACTGACCTTAGCATCCATAGAAAAAACCCTGTCTAAATCCATTTAAAGGAAAAAAAAAAAAAAAAAAAAAACGAACACAGGTTGCATGGCATTTTTCTAGTTTTATTTCTTGATTGTAATGACAATTTTTAAAACATTAAAAAAAAAAAAAATGGACCCTTTCCAACCACTAATGTATCATTTACTCAGGACCACACTAATTGCTAACATCTTACATGTTTGCACAGCGGTATATTCCTGTGCTGAGCGATGGGACATCACGAACCCTCCCGTCTTCGAAGATCTGGCTTCTGCAGTCTCCATCAGCGTACCCATTGTTCTCAGTCTATCTAGATCCAAAGATGTTCAACGTTCTTGCTGTGACTTGCATGCAGAGATTTCCAAGACTACGTGCGAGAGATGATCGCCTCACAAAAAACTTTTTTTGGATTTTTTTCTTTTTTTTTTTTTTTAACATTCTATACTGGTAACATAGTATATACATGAGAATACGCACAATATAAATGTGTGTACAGAATCCCTTTCCGTAAATGAGCATGGCAATGAAGCCACTCGTACAAAACAAAAAAATTGAGAGAAAAAAGTGTTTTGGATATAGCCGATAAACTTTCCGGGTGAAGGTTGGAAAAGGCAGATCTTGAAAATGTAAAAAGTCGTAAATTTTTATCCTTAAAAACTAATTGAGGGGTTTTGGCTTCTCGGCGTTTTGCATGTTGTGCACCCGGATGTGAGCCAGTAGGGTCTCCTCTTTGTTGAAGCTCCGCTCGCACTGGTTGCATGGGAACGGTTTATCAGGAGCGTGGGTGGCCTGGTGGGCCATCAGCTGCGTCTTCAGGAAGAAGCTCTCACTGCATTGAGTGCACTTGAAGGGCTTAGTGTCTGTGTGCACTCCCTCGTGGGTGATGAGCAGGGACTTGTCGTTGAAGCTCTTCTCGCAGTGACGGCACTTGTACGGCTTGGGTTTCAGGTGGCACTCACCATGGGCTTCCAGGCTGCTGCGGTTAGGGAACCATTTGTTGCAGTGGTTACACTTCTGCGGCTTTTCTCCAGTGTGGGTCCTCTTGTGGGCCACCAGGAGCGTCTGATCGTTGAATTTTTTATCACACTGGTCGCAGTGGAAAGGTTTGCCCTCTCGGTGAATGTTGCTGTGAGCAGCAAGCAGAGCTGGCTTCGAGAAGCTCTCGTCACACACCGGGCAGGGATAGGCAAGCTTTCCAGTGTGAATTCTCTGATGGGCTTCCAGGATGGACTTGTCTCGGAACCTCTTTTCGCAGTAGTTGCACTGGTGAGGCTTTTCATCCAGCAGAGGGCTGTTACTGGCGCTTGAGTTGGAGCTTTCGGTGGGTGTTCGGCTCGTTTGCGGACTCTCAAATTGGTTATTCGGCACATGCTGCCTGCGATGAACCATTAGGTCGGATTTCAAAGAGAAACGGGCGTTGCAGACGTCACATGGAAATCCTTTATCATTCTTATGGATCCGGCGGTGGGCTTCCAGGGCATTACTATGTTTGAAACATTTCTCACACTCTGCGCAGTAATACTGACGGCGCCTCCTCAGGTTCCTCCCATGTGTCGGAGGAGAGTAATCGCTGTCCCCTTCATCGTCCTGCCCGCTCTCATCATCCACATCTTCATCGGGGCTATCATCAACCCGGATCCTTTTCACTGGTCTTCTGCGTGCCTCCTCTTCATCTTCCGGGTCAGGCTCAAGATAGACATCAATGGTCTCCACATCATCTTGATCCTCCATTTCTGTTCAAACCAAAGCCTGTTGAAAGATAAAAGAAAATGGACCATTGAGGACTCATTTGAGGACTACAGTAGGTATCATTGTCATGGTGATGGATGGTCAGTTTAAGAACCTTGTGGCCCAGTCAGGGCTCTATGGCTGCAACCCTGCAAATCCACAAGTTTTGTGACCAAAAGACAGTTGTCATCTACTATGCCAACTGAAAGGAGAATTTAAAAAACAGACATAATTAAAAACTAACATCTGATTAATGAGCACAATTTAACCACCAAGACGAGGCCTATTCTGACACTTTGTTTACAAGCAAAAATCAGTATTTTTTTTTGCTACAAAATTACTTAGAACCCCCAAACATAAAAAGGTCCTAGAGAAAAAAAAAAAAAATGGTCGTCATTGCAGTTTTGTACGTCAAATGGTATTTGCATAGCGGTTTTTCAAACACAATTTTGGGAAAAAATGCACTTTAATAAACCGTAAGTGTTACAAAACTCTCAACAGTAAAATCAGTCAGTAAAATGCAGTAAAGCATGCTGGTTATACTCACGGTGGAACCTACGGGGTTAAATCCCCCCGCATTGTGTAAAAACGCACTGTTCGATCCTGTCTTCTCTGATCCTCCTCTTCTTCCGGTAAGACATACTATATTGCCAAAAGTATTGGCCCTGCCCTCCAAATCATTGGGTTCAGGTGTTCGAATCCCCTCCAAGGACACAGGTGTATACAATCAAGCCCCTAGGCATGCAGACGGCTTCTACAAACATTGGTGAAAGAATGGATTGCTCTCAGGAGCTCAGTGACTCCAAGAGTGGTCCCGTGATAGGTGGCCACCTGGGCAATAAGTCCATCCGTGACATTTCCTGGCTACTAAATATTCCACGCTCAACTGTTAGTGGGATTATAACAAAGTGGAAGCAACTGGGAACAACAGCCACTCAGCCACCAAGTGGTAGGCCACGTCACATGACAGGGCGGGGCAGCGCATGCTGAAGTGCACAGTGCGCAGAAGTCGTCAACTGTCTGCAGAGTCAATAGCTAAAGACCTCCAAACTTGGTGTGGCCTTCAGATGAGCCCAACAACAGTGCGTAGAGAGCTTCATGGAATGGGTTTCTATGGCCGAGCAGCTGCATCCAAGCCTTCCATCACCAAGAGCAATGCAAAGCGTCGGATGCCGTGGTGTAAAGCACGCCGCCACTGGACTCTAGAGCAGAGGAGACATGTTTTCTGGAGTGACCAATCGCTTCTCTGTCTGGCAATCCGATGAACGTGTCTGGGTTTGGAGGTTGCCTGGAGAACGGTACTTACCTGACTGCATTGTGCTAAGGGTAAAGTTTAGTAATGCTTTAATGCAGCAAAGCGCAAAAAAAAAAAAAAAAACCACCACGCCCACAGCCACCCCTCTGTCCAAGTATACCACAGCCACCCCTCTGTCCAAGTATACCACGTCCACAGCCACCCCTCTGTCCAAGTATACCACGTCCACCCCTCTGTCCAAGTATACCACGTCCACAGCCACCCCTCTGTCCAAGTATACCACGTCCACAGCCACCCCTCTGTCCAAGTATACCACCCCTCTGTCCAAGTATACCACGTCCACAGCCACCCCTCTGTCCAAGTATACCACGTCCACAGCCACCCCTCTGTCCAAGTATACCACGTCCACAGCCACCCCTCTGGCCAAGGTTTTGCTCACCTCATCAAAAAGAAAATCAGGTTTGACAACTTCTGTCTTTCATGACTCCATGCTGTCTGTTGCTTAAAATATTTGTTTCCAGCAGGAACTCATCTATGTGTCTTCTATTAAACTCTCCAGTATCTTCCCAACTATGGAAGTTACACTAACAAGTCTATAATTACTTGGGAAAGATTTTGACCCCTTTTTAAATATTGGCCCCACATTGGCCTTACACCAATCCAGTGGTACTATGCCAGTCATTAAAGTGTCCCTAAAAACTAGAAACAATGGCTTTGAAACGACAGAGCTCAATTCTTTAAGGCCCCGTGGGGTGTATGCCATCCGGTCCAGGGGCTTTATTCATCTTTATTCTGTCTAATATTTCTGGATCATATCAATTGTGAGCCAATGTGGATCATCTGGAGCTGTGTCAGTACCACGCCCAATATGGAGCTCCCCCCCATGCTCCTTTGTATACACAGAGCTGAAGAAGGGATTTAATAGATTTGCCTATAACCCATTTTATGTTTCATTAAAATATATAAGATGTAACACCAAGTAGATACCGAACATGTCACGCTTTAAAATTGCGCACACGCGTGTAATGGCGACAAACTAGGATATGTAAATATATCCATAGGCGACGCTTTTTTTGCAGGTTACCAGTTTCGATTTACAGGAGGAGGTGTAGCGCTAAAATTACTGTGCTCACTATAGCGTTCGTGGCGATACCTTACTTGTGCGAGGCGATCACTGCTTACATAGGAGCGCGTGACCTACATATGCATTCGCTTCTGCATGGAGCGACAGGGGTGCTTTAAAAATATTTTGAAATATTTTTTTATTTTTACACTGTCCCTTTATTATTTTTTTTTTTAATCACTTTTATGCCCATCACAGGAAATAAGGGATGAACGGTCCTCTTTATGGAGATATCTGGGGTCTACTCTACCCAGATCTCTCCTATAACCTGGAAAACATCAGAAAAATAACATTTTAAAAAAAATACATAAAAAAAATAAAATCATCCATTACATCCAATGGCAACATTGGACACTTCCTCATGTTACAGCAGCGGGGATCCTCTGCTCTTCTAGCCCTTCAGGTCAGGACATTGGCAGATTCCTCTCCATCTGGATACTGAATTATGTTGAGTGTCATGGGGGGGGGGGGGGGGGTTGTTTGAAGGCGGCCACTGGATCTAGGACCATTAAGACGCACCTTGTGGTGACATCCTGTTGTACATTAGTATGGTATTGCTCTTCTGTCTCTGAGAGGATTCTAATACTAAGGTCAGGATCCACCCACATTCCTGGCTCAGCCTCTCAGCATGCCACAGATATCCTGAGCCAGGCGCTCCAGGCCCCTGCACAGCCTGGTGCTCTGAGCAGACTCAAGAACGGGACTGATCGCTCAGTTCTCAAGCTTAGAGACGGCAAGGGACATATACCCGATTGATCGATCAATGCTACTTTTTTTTCCAATCCCGCACTTCTCCTTTAACCACTTCCCGTCTGGTCCATGTAGATAAACTACCGGACGGGAGCGCTGCAGAAGCAGGTTGACGTTTCTAAACGCCACCCACATTCACTGCCTGTGCACGCTCCCTGGGAGCACCGATCGCTGTACGGGACCTCTGTGTGAGGTCCCGATTCATGCGATCACCGATTGGCCACAAGAGTAGTAGTAAACAAGTCACTTCTGACATTGCTTACTAGATGTGAAATATCACAGGTCACATGGTACAAGGCTATTCACAACAGCCTTGTACCATGTGACAAGCTGTGACGAATCACAGCTCTCACCGTATTTCTCAATGGCTGCAAGAATTCAGCCAGAGAGAAATAGAAATGATTGCTTTTACATCTTTTATGGGTGTAAAAGTAATCAGTGTAAAAAATAAAAAAAAATCATCCCAAAACAAGTACAACCAAAAAATACATGGCCTCACAAGAGAAATGTCCAGAGGGTCAAACCCCAGAGACAACAGGGAGTAAGCAGAAGATGGGAGATGGAAAAAAAGCATCGGTGATCGCTCCAGGTTTTCTCTGGGAGTGTCCAATATGAGCCAAAGTGTAGTAACTGAAGACATAGAAAAAGAGTTAGCTATAGAAAATGCTGAAGAACAAGAGAATTCAAAAACGCCTACTAAAAATGAAATAGAAGAAATGTTTATGAGATTGGAACAGGCTATAAAATAGGAGATGGCGGTAATACATAAAGACCCGGGGCAAGTTCTGTCGCCGGTAGAAGAAACTGAGGGAAAACTGGATAAACATGGCCAAGTAATAACCAATCTAGAAAAACAGACGGAGGAGATGCGAAAGGAGCAAAGGAGATTGGAAGACCAAGAAAACAGAGATAGAAGGAGCAACCTAAGGAGACAGGGTTTGCCCGAGACTTCACAAGGAGATTTGATGGAGATAAAGAAAACGCTCAATAAAATAACGGACAGATCATTAACAGAGCATCTGAAAAATCAACAGAGTACATAGAATAGGAAGATCCCAAGGAACTGGGAGTGAAAATCCCAGAGATGCGATTGTGCGATTTCACAACTACAAAGAAAGAGTAGATTTATGGAAGATGAGAAGAGGGATACCAGTAATAAAATATGAAGATGCAAGTCTACAGATTTTCACTGATATAACATTGGAAACACTGGCCAGAAGGAGAATGCTGAAAGCATTACTAGAACAAATGAGAAAACAAAAATGTACAATACAGGTGGGAATTCCCAACATGTTTAATTGGATGGAAAGATGGCCGCTCTGCAAGACTGAGGTTCCCAGAAGATCTTGGGTGACTTTTGAGAGACTAGAATTACAGAAAATAGACATCCCAGGATGGGAAGAGGGGGTAAAGGGGAATAGGGGATTAGAGAATGAGAGATGGAAGTCAGTCCCCAAAAGAAAAATACATCAGAAACGGGAAAGAGGGAATGGAGGTGGGAGATTTTTGGAAGTCTATCTTTTTTTTTTTTTTCCTTCTTCCCTTTCCTTATCTTCCTCCCAAGCAAGGTGAGAATTTTAAAAGATAGGCGGAAAATGGGAATCCTTATATACATCCAGACAAGCAGCCCAGGGATTGGGAACACGGCCTGGGTGGGCGTATATGGTCAGAGCTCCACCCTAGCCCGGAATAGACTGTGGGACTAGGACCACAAAATGATTCAAAGGCAAAATAAGAGCCATCGGGTAGTAGGATATCTTCATGTCCCTTCGGACGGACAAACGTACTGTCGCTGGTACGAATATGGTTGGAAAAAAAAAAAGAAAATATAGGAAATGGATGTGGTTAGTTTTATGACCTATAATGTAAAGGGGC